TCCATCTCTCTAGGCCCCCCCCCCTCCTTTTGCTTCATGACATTGGTACAAACGAGTAAGATATAGTGATCGAGAATTCATCCAGGTTTCTTATCAGCGGGCTCACGGGCATCCCATAATTACCAGTTTCTTTTAATTGAAAAAAAAGGCTAAGTGTTTTGCAGTTTCATATGAATGACAAACAACAACAAACAAACAAACCTTATGCCTTGGAAAACCTGCATACCCATTTGATTTTCAGCACCCACCCCCCCCCCCTCTCGATGTCTAGTCCATGCTGGCTTGGAACTCAGGGTCTTTCTTTTAGCTTCTGCAAGTGCTGGGGATAAGTGATGTGCACCTTTACCCTGAACTCGTTTCTCTTTGGTGAGGACCTCAGGTGTTTTGTACCCATGCTGGGTCTGGATGACAGACGTCCCTTAACCTGGAGCATGAAGCATCTGAGGTGCTCTGGCAGCTGCTCTGCTCCTCCCAAAGGTCTCTGTCTCAGAGAGCTTACAAGCAAGCACGGGGTTTCTACCGGGGGTGGGGGGCACACACAGGGCCTACTGTGCTGGGGCAGGGGTGAGGGCGGCACAAGATTGAACCCAGGGCATAGGTGTGTGTGTGTGCACACGTGCGTGTGCGTGCGTGTGCACGTGTGTGCGCGCGTGTGCGTGTGTGTGTGTGTGTGTGTGCGTGCGTGTGACCTCACCAGCCTCCCTTGGCCTGGCCCTCTGCCTTAAGCAGCTGCCAGAGGTGTTAGGGACATCACTAGGACCCTCCCCCCCCCAACCACACACACCTGTACCCACTTCCCCGCTGTAGTTTTATGAGCCCAGGAGGAGGCAGATTTGACACAGGGACACAGTCTGCCCGGACAGCTGCAGACAAGTCAGCTCCCCCAGACAGTAAAATGTAAAGAGGGGGGAGGGGCAACCTTTGAAGTTTGCAAAAAGCCTGACTTTGACACTTCCTTTCCCCCTTCTCTGGGTGTCCCAGGTATTATGCTGGGAGCAACTGCCGGGCTGACTTTTACAAGGAAGGATGCATTTCCTTTTTCTGTCCCCTGAGGTCTGTGTCCTTAGTGTTTAATGTGGCTCTGAATGGCTGGCTGTTCCTGTCACAGTAGCAGCACCAGGGCCGAGCATGTGGGCTGGAGGTTCTAGAGCAGGCCACCAGGGACACCCAGGCGCCGCGAATGTGTGGCACATTCGTGCAGAGAGCACTCTGGACTCTAAGTATAAACTCTGGAGATGTCTCCAATCTGTTTGCCTGTTATGGGACCCCCTTCCCGTGAACTCGGGGGGATGGTGTAATGGAGTGAACTGAAACTGTGGTGTTGCATTTTTTATCTTAATCTCACAGCTGAGTCTTAGTCTCCGGTTGACAAAAAAAATTTTTTTCTGTTTATAAAAGAATTCTAGTTTAGTTTTCGGTTACTTTTTGACAGTTTACCATAAAAGGGTGGGGTGCGGGGAGTAGATGATATAGATGATAGATAGATACATAGATAGATAGGAGAAAGAGAGAGATGTCCCAGAACGGGAGGGGGAGATAGATAGACAGACAGACAGACAGACAGATAGATAGATAGATCGATCGATCGATCGATAGATAGATAGGTAGATAGATAGATAGATCGATAGATAGATAGATCGATAGATAGATAGGTAGGTAGGTAGATAGATAGATAGATAGATAGATAGGTAGATAGATAGGTAGGTAGATAGATAGATAGGTAGGTAGGTAGATAGATAGATAGGTAGGTAGGTAGGTAGGTAGATAGATAGATCAATCGGTAGGTAGGTAGGTAGGTAGATAGATAGGTAGATAGATAGATAGATAGATAGATAGATAGATAGATAGGTAGCAGAGGGAAAAAGGGAGAGGGGAGGCAGAGGAAAATGCCTGACAAAACAAAACTTACCCTGGAGGAGACTGCTACTGTGCCTGACCTGTGACCTGTGATGTCCCTGACAGGTTATGCAGCATTAGGAGGCCCCTCATTGTCTGTCTCTCCCTGTCCCAGATAAGGTCAAGGGATAGAGAGCCGTGAGAATTAAATATGGGAGCATAAAGGGAATGGTCTTCAAGCCCAGAGCCTGTGTCTCCCCTTACGTTACCCCTAACTCTTCCCACACACAGTCTGTCTTCACTCCCATTACTGATATGCACAGTGTGTACCATTTCCCTGTCCCTGGATACACTACCCTGGCCAACCACAGTGTGCCTCAACATCTCTCTGTCCCTGGATACACTGACCTGGCCAACTGCATTGTGCCTCAACATCTCTCTGTCCCTGGATACACTACCCTGGCCAACCGCAGTGTGCCTCAACATCTCTCTGTCCCTGGATACACTACCCTGGCCAACCGCAGTGTGCCTCAACATCTCTCTGTCCCCGGATACACTGACCTGGCCAACCACAGTGTGCCTCAACATCTCTCTGTCCCCAGATACACTGACCTGGCCAACCGCAGTGTGCCTCAACATCTCTCTGTCCCCAGATACACTGACCTGGCCAACCGAAGTGTGCCTCAACATCTCTCTGTCCCCGGATACACTGACCTGGCCAACCACAGTGTGTCTCGCCATCTCCCTGTCCCCGGGAGAGAGGACTTACTTTGCTCGTGGTCTAAGTGTGTCATCAGTACCGCGGGGAGCGCATGGTGGCAGGAGCTGTCATGACTAACTGTGGCCTGAGGCTCTTGCTCACACCTGTAGTTTGCTGGGGTTTGTTGCTAGTTTGGTTTTGGTTGTCACCGCCAGGGCGTGCGCTCACTCTTGTTGCTCATTTGCTCAAGCACAGATAGTGAGAAAGGATGTTGCTTTTGTGTCTTTGGTATCACCTGGCACATCACACAGGTACATCCCACTGATTTCCATGTGTGTCTCTGCTTCCAGTGTCGTGCAGCCTTCATTAGCGTAAGCCTTTTGGTTGGGGAGGGGATGCATGCCATTTTTGTTCTCGTCCAGCCCTCCCCGTTCTTCTGGCTTTTCCATACAGATGTTAGAGTACATTGCTCTGTGTGTGTAAGGATTTGGCAGACTCTTTTAAAAATCTGTGTGTCTATCGTGTGTGTACGTATGTGTGTGTGTTTATGTGTGTCAACACGTGTACACTTGTGCCCGTGCCACGGACTGTATGTGGAGGCTACAGGACAATGTCAGGAGTTGGTTCTTGCCCTGCGATCGGCTCTCCCCGTCTTTCTGTTCTGCAAGCTACGCGGTTCACAGCTCTAGCCTTCCGTCTCCACCTCTTATTTTTCTGAGGAGTGCTGGAGCTACAGATGTGCCCCACTGACATGACACATGCACCACTGACATGCACAGCATTGACATGTGCACACCACTGACACACATGCCACTGACATGTAAACCACTGACATGCACAGCATTGACATGTGCACACCACTGACATGTGAACCACTGACAGGTAAACCACTGACATGTGCCCACTGACATGACACATGTACCACTGGCATGTGAACCACTGACATGTAAACCACTGACATGTGCCCACTGACATGACACATGCACCACTGACATGTGAACCACTGAGACATGTACCACTGACATGTGAACCACTGACACATGTACCACTGACATGTGAACCACTGACACGTGCACCACAAAGTACAAGCTTTGGGATCCAGGATTGAACCGGGACCATGAGGCCGGCGCTCCTTAACCCACCACGCCCGCCATCTTCCGAGCACTTGTCTGGGACCCCGGTATGAATTGTGTTTCCCTGTAAGTTCACTTTACTAAGTTCACTTTCCATGAACGCGATTGGGTTTTTAAAAGATACTTGCATCTTCTCTGATTCCTTCAGCATCGTTTTCTAACAAAGTCATTGGTTCGCCAAGCAGGAGTTGGGTGGACCCCTGTCTCTGACATGTCGGTGACATGTTTGGAGTGAACAGGTTTGTTTACGTCTCTTCAGGGAAAGCCATGAGGCAAAGGCACAGTTTCCTTCCTTTTTCCCGCCTCACACAATGGTGTGGGAAACATTGTCTCCTCATTTACCCTCTGCACTGCATAAAGTTTTGTGTCAATTTATCTCCTTAAGAACCGGGTACGATTTTTTTTTCACGAAGCCACCTGGGTTGGAGGTTTCCATATTTCAGTTTCTTTATTTATGATTACCAAGCCTGCCTTTCTCATCTTGCATGAGCTTTGAAAGTTGTGGATCTTGAGGAACAGTCCGTTGCCCCCAGTTTATGACATTCGTGCGAAGGAAGTTGGGCTCTGTTCCTATTGCTTCAAGTTTATCTGTGCTTTCTTTCCCAGGCACAGCCTAAGTGTGTCAGTGGGGTTTTCTTTAAAAAAAAAAAAATAGTTATTTTATTTCATGTCTGTCGGTGTTTTTGCCTGCGTGTCCCTGGAACTGGAGTTACAGACATCTGGGAGCTGCCTTGTGGGTGCTGGGAATTGAACTCAGGAACCCCCTCTCTGTGAATTTTCTAGACAGGGTTTCTCTGTGTAGCTCTGTAGACCATGCTGGCCTTGGACTCACAGAGATCCGCCTGCCTCTGCCTGCCAAGTGCTGGGATTAAAGATGCGCGCCACCGCTGCCCAGATGTGTCGGCAGTATCTATGAGCATCTTGGTGCGGACCTCACTGACCCTAAGATGCTCGCCCCTCCTCCATTCCCCGATCCTCACCCACTGCATCCTAAGTTCCTTCTGATGGTCCTGACTGCTCTCTCCCATCCAGCCTGTGGGATGGGTTCTGTCCATCTCAATTGCCTGCTGCTGTCACTGAGTGAGGGGACAGATTCCGGGTTCAAAGCAGGAGCAGCTGATGCGGGGGCTTTTGACCAAGTGAGGCTGGCATGCCGGGGGGGGGGGGAGGGGGGGAGGACACAAGCCTGGAGTCCTACACCGAGGAAAGGGCTGTCATGAGACGGGCTACAGAGGAGGAGAGGCCAGAGCATGGATGGATGGCTCCCAGGCTTGAAGAAAAGGGCCCATTAGAGGACATTTGCAAGAAGACCTCTTCTGTTTTCTTCCCAGAGCCTTCTCTCTCGACTTACAGAATGGAGAAAAAGGTGTCAACAGCATAAAGCAGCCTGGAGACTGCCCGGAGGGCAGGGGGAGGTAACCTTGTGGGACTTAGTTGACCTTGAGCCTTTAGAACAACCTTAGCCCTAAGGAAGGTCCCCAGTCTCAGTGAGGGATGACAGTATGTATTAAGTGTTTCCTGTTTCAGGCCTGAGGGCTGGCATATATTCCCTACAGCTTAGCCCCCCCCCCCTTTCTCCTTCCTCCTCAGCTTAAGCAATGTCTGACATGGGATGTAGCTGTTATTAAAAATGTTCTTTTGAGTGTCAGGCTGGTGCAGGCTCTTGGCGCTGTCCTTTGAGAGGAGCGTAGAACAGCCTAGGTACTGACACGCACCATAAATGGAAATGAGAGAGAGAGACAGAGAGGGAGAGAGAGAGAGAGAGAGAGAGAGAGAGAGAGAGAGAGAGAGAGAGAGAGAGAGAGAGCAGGTGTTACCTCTTAACCATCAAGGCCGCTACATATGGCTTGCTTGCTAGTCTGTATCAGAGTGGTCCAAAAAGAGTTTGCAGAAGTCTCCATGTCTGAGAAATTCAAATGCTAGCTAGCTAGCTAGCTACATGGTGGGTAGCTAAAATGACCATGAAAGATGTGTTCACCGTGAAATGCATCTCACAGAGCAAGATTACGTGTAAGACAAAGACGGATTCCCGGAGCAAGATCTACCTTAGTCGTTTGTATCAGATGTGTTCCACCTCCCTTGCTAACATGGAATTCTCCAGAAGGTAAGACATCCCCCCACCCCACCGCCCCTGCAGACAAGGCCTTGAGGGTTCACTCTGTAGTCCAAACTCAAAATCACTTTGCCTTGTTTTCCCAAAGACTGGGTTTGGTGTGAACTACCATACTTGGATTTTCCCTCCCCTCCCTTTCCTTCTCCCCTTCTCTCCCCTGGCTCCCTCCCTTCCTTATAACCCTCCCCAGCCTGGCTAAACTAGGCTCACCGAGCTAGGTCCAGCCCTCGGTGTCTGCTTCTACATCTGCTGTCCCTTCACAGCCACCTTCATTTTTCTCTTTATATACACTGAGGAATTGTCACTACCAAACAGCCTTCAAGCTGCCTCCCTCCTAGGAAGAGAAGAGCATACAATCTAATCCCGAGGGAGGCCCTGGGGTAGTATGAGATGGGACTGAGGCTCTGTCGCCCTTTGAGGCTGTGAAGGAATACGCAGTTCTGGGGTCCCTGAATCTCCTGGGTGAGAACTTGAATCTAGTACCTGCTCTAGCATCGAGTAGGATGATATCAGACTTCCCTGTGCACCAACCACCGTGACCTCAAGGAGTACCATTCCCTAGTGAGCTCACCGCTCAGCGGGGGTGGGGATGTGTGGGGTCAACATGGACATAGTTTGCAAGTGGTAAGTGTGTGTATGTGTGTGTGTGAGTGTGCACCACTATAATGACAGCAAAGACAGCCTCTGCATGTGTTGTGTGTACTTTTCTGTACTTTTCTGAAACAGCGTGGATATGCGGGCGCTTCCCTCAAACTAAGGAAGGACACAGGGACCCCCAGTGTACGGGTCTACGGTCTGGCCTGAGGTTGCCACCTAGGGGTTGAACTTGGGCCATCTGAGTCTGGCCTGCACTGCCAGCTCAAGATGGAGAAGCTGACCAGGCAGGGGGCTGCAGGCTGTGCAGGTGTCCGTGACAGATGGGGAGCTTGCACGAGAGGCCTCCGGCTTTCCGGAAACCGGGGTCAGAGGCGCTGCTCTTCCTCAAGGTGCATCCAGCCTGTCAAAGTGTCCCGGATTCACAACAGCACGGGAGGGAGGTGGTTCTACAGGAGACCAAGTTCTTTTCTGGCAGAGGCTTGTGTGGATGGAGGCACACCCCCGCCGCCCAGGCCTGTGGGAAAGCTGCTCTCCCACTAGGGATTTTTTCCCACCATGAGACATTTAACAGAACATACGCCTGGGAGAATTCTGGTGGCAAAGAAGCTGCTTGCTGGTCATTTGAGGGGTGGTGGGTGGTGTTAGGGGAGTGTTTCCCTCATTTAGGGACCAATTCTGGCCCTCCATTAGCATTTGAATGGAGCGGCCCAGTTGTTTTGATTGAATGGAGAGGACGAGCCTTTGTTGTTGCAATTGAGGGAGTAACTTGCTCTCTGGCCTCCTTTAATCAGCTGGAATGGGGGAAATGGCCATGGCTGCCTGTCTGGGCTGAGAATGGCACCTCCTAAGCACCTTCCCTGTGAGCCCCAGAGCCAGCAGCGGCAGGCACTTGGTACGGGCGGATCGTGTCCCTGCCCACCGCCGTCCTTTCCCTCGGAATCTCTTTCAGGGCCTTCTGAAGATTCTCTTTGTGTGGATTAAGCCAATCCACATAATTACAGAAACACAGCCGGTCCAGGTGGGACAGCCAAACAGTTGGTGCCCGTTTCCCACACACAGGGGACCCCAGGCCAAGGACAGGTGGCCACTCCGGGGATGGCATCCAAGTAGCTTCATATTCTCTATGCTGGGTTTCTCTGTGTAGCCCTGGATGTCCTGGAACTTGCTCCGTAGACCAGGCTGGCCTCCGTCGCCTGCCTCTGCCTCCCAAGAGCTGGGATTAAAGGTGTGGGCCTACGCTGAGCACATAGGACTTAAAGACTGGTGATTCCTGAAAATGGAGGTGAATCCCACTGAGGGAAAACCTTCTCGGAGTTGCTGTTGCTCGAGGTCTGCTCTGTCTCCAGGCCTGCATCAGGTCAACCATTCTCTGCACTTCCTGCCCAATGTTTGCGCCCCCTCCCTCCTCTGCCTCCCCCCGGAAATGGGAGATGGCCACCCTCTGAGGCTGGCTCTTCAGCCATCCTCTCTAGGAGGCCTCGGGAGAGAGCCTTCTCTCACGCGGAGCTTGTAACCCTGGGACTCCAGTTCCTTTCTTGAGTTGAGTTGCATTCCCCAGCTGCTGGAGTTCCCCCACAGTCTCAAAGGAGCCACCCAGGGTCCCAATTAGCGAGCACCCTCCCACAGGCCGGGCTTCTCCAAGGAAAGCAGTTTGTCAAACAGCTGTTCCAACCTGATAAAAGACTGTTTGCGCTGTGTCCTGCCTACAAAGACCAACCTCACCTGCCCTGTCCTAGCTCAGCAGAATCCAGCTCAGACTGGCTTGCCTTTGCCCCCCCCCCCCCAGCTGTGTTGAGAGCTCAGCTGAGTCCCTTGGGCATGAGTGGCCCCGTCGTTGCTTCAGATGCTCTGGGCACCCCAGGGGTAGCACAGGAAGCAATAAAAAGCACCCACTCTCCTCAGTCAAGTAACAGTGTGGTTACTTACTAATTCTAGAGCCTATGACCTTAAAAACAGTCCCAGGGTCTGGAGGTATCACACACACACACACACACACACACACACACACACACACACCTTTAATCCCAGCACTCTAGAGGCAGAAGCAGGCAGATCTCTGTGAGTTTAAGACCAGCTTGTTGTACATAGCTGGTACCAGGCCAGCCATGGTTATATAATGAGACCTTGTCTCCAAACATAGGCAAATAGTCCCAATACAGTCACCTTATATTATTCTCACTGAACTGTTGTGAGAGCCCTGTGTGAGCCCCCAGGTCCACTGTTAACGGAGGGATGTCCTGAGACTATACGATGATGTCTATACTTTAACCTGAGTCAGAGCCAAGGTTTATTCAAGGTCTCCTGGTTTGGGGGCTAGCTGAAGATGTCAAGGAAGTTCCCTACCATGCTTACATGCACACACATGTGTGCTTCACATTAGTGTATGTGCACACACACACTTATACACACATATGCACACATGAGCACACACTCATGGTACACACCCATACCTGCACACGCGCACACATACACATAACATACACACACACACACACACACACACACTGTCCCATGTATCTGTGCTCAGCACACAGGTGTGGTACACTGAGTGCCAGGCAGACCTTCGCGATGAGCATACGTGCAGGGCACATTTAACCAAGCCTCTTCAAGGGAGCTCATCCCTCACTGCAGAGCAGAGGCTAGGCTCAGAGAAGCTAGGAGGGTTCAGTAGAGAATACATCATCAGAGAGCACTGACCCACAAGCCTGTGCCTGGAGACTTCCCTCTCTACAGTGTGCGCCTTCAGCCTCAGGCTCTCTGGAAGTAGGAACATTTCTATGTCAAACTTTATTTTTAAGAGCCTCCTCCGAAACTCATGCCACTTGTCCAGCAGAACCGAACCGTGTGAGAGCTGTCCCGTCAGCCTGGCCTCCCGCAGGATGACCCAGCCCAGGGTTTCCAGCTTGTGGCTGCAGCCTGTGTGTACTCAAGGGGTGCTGAGCCTGACGGTTTCTTCTGTTTGCTTTTCTCTGTTTGCTGCCACCGGGGCAGACTGCTGGAGAGAGATGGCCACTTTGCAGACGTGCACTCTGAGCACAGGGCTCGAGGCCTGGTCAGTGCCCTGAGGGTCCAGGCATCGATTTGGGAGGTTGTAGGGGACCTGGGGCGGGAGGTGCAACTGTCCCCTGGATGTGAGACGTAGTCCATTCTCACGGAGCTGTGACTCCTATGTCTTGGTGACCGGGGACAGAAAGGTCTGTTTGAGTTGCAAGTGAAGTCGCAAATCTGGGACCAGAGATATAGCTGAGTTAATATCGTGCTTGCCTAGAGGGGGCCTGGGCTCAAACCCCAGCATCATATAAACAGGGTGTGGGGGCACGTAGCTGTGACCTTAGCACTCCAGAGGTAGAGGCAGAGTCATGCTTAGCTAGGCTGTGAGTGTGAGGCCAGCCTGGGCTCCCCGAGGACTCTGTCTGGAAAGAAAATTATCAAGTGCAGCTTGAAGACAGGGACAGGGCCCGAAGCACCCCACATTCCTCTGCTCCTTCTCTCCCAATCACAGTGGCGGAGAGGAACAGGGATGGAGATGGCTCCAGTTCACATGGCAAGCACGAAGGGGGTATGATTTCCTAAAGCGGCACGATTTAGACAATGGAGCGTTTAAAATAGGAGCGTGTATCTTAATGATCACTACTCACTACCCCCGATTATGATCCGTAACCCATTTCTCACATTCGGATGACAACAAAATGAAAATGTTCTTTCCTCCCCCAAGATGGATTACATGGTCCCAAGCAGGTACCAGCAAGTGGATGCTCCACCCAGAGAAACGGAGGCAGGGGACCCTCTGGTCCCTGGCCAGCAGCTTCAAGTGTCACCTGCCCTTCGGTTTCTCAAGTACCAGAGCCCAGAAACTCCACAGAGAAGTTCCCAGTTGAGGACAGGAAGACGCCAAGTGACCCTGTGTGGCACGTGAGTTATCAGAGAACAGGGGGCCAGTGAGATGGCTCAGCAGGCAGAGGGGCTTGTAGCCAAGCTTGATGACCTGAGGTCCCTGGGTCCCACAGGGTGGAAGAAGAGATCCAGTTCCTACAAGTTGCCCTCTGACTTCCGTATGCATATGCGTGTTCTCTCTCTCTCTCTCTCTCTCTCTCTCTCTCTCTCTCTCTCTCATACACACACACACACACACACAATAAATGTGAAAAAATATTAATAGCTTAGAAACAACTCACCAAAGCAAACAAACAACAGAACTATACCATGGCATGAGAAGAATTTGGCAGGGACAGGGTGAAAACCGAGAGGTAGGTAAGTAATTTGGATTTCATCCATAGGTCTCTGACCTCTTTCTCCACAGTCCTTCCTAGCCGCTGCCCCTCCCCTCCCCCCGCCCCGCCCGGGTGGGGCATGCCTATCTCTGCTGCTTCCAGACTCCATCAGCCAGCCCCTGAGCCGGAGGGAGGGTGGGAGAACTTTCACCTTCTGCCTGCTACCCTCTGCTCCTGTGGGACCAGTTTGCAAGTCCTTCTGGTTAGTTTTTGTGTTCTGTAAAACATTTTTAAAGTGGCGAAGGTTGTGCCTAGGACCTTGCACATGTCAGATGAATGCTGCCTGGCCATGGAACTGTGTACCCCCAGCCTGCAGTTAATCTACGCGCATGCTCGCGCGCGCGCACACACACACACACACACACACACACACACACACACACACACACACACACGGCTACTCCCTGCTCCCCACTGTGAGGCTGAGTGTCACGGCTGGCGTCGCCTGTTGACACAGGTGGGCCCAGCTGTGTTTCCCTCACTGACCTCAGAGAAGCTCAGTCTGTTTCACCATCTTGTACCGTGTACACGATGACACCTGCTCCTTGGCTGCCGGCGGACTCGGTTTAGTGGCGTAAGCAAGGCATTCTCCATCACACTTGTGTGGTCCTGTGTGGCACCAGCTCTTTGAATGTCTGTCCAGCTGTGACTCGTGTCTGGTCCATGCCCAGCCTCTTGCTCCCCTGACAGTAACGTCCTAATGGGGACATGGAAGGCTGCAGTCAGCTACTCTTCACTGGTCACGCCGGGTTAGGTCTTCCTAGGTGCGAATACTTGTGTAAGGCAGCAGATCACACCGGGCTTAGGGTTATTCACTGAGCGAATGCTTCCAGTTTCTGTGTGCCCGCCTCTGACAAGGAGAAGCCCGGTCTCCGCCTGGGCCCTGCTGCCCTCTGAAGCCCTGCTGAGTGATTTTTGTGGACAGCCACTTTTGGCTACACTCCAGCTTGATGAGGCTTGGTAAAGCCCTTCCATCAGAGCATCCCCTTCTGTTACTTTGGTAATAAATGTCCGTCTTTCTGTTAGAAATCCTTCCTAGGCTGAGTGCAGTGAAGAGAATTTAAATCTTCAGCAGAGCACCTTGTATATTCTAGAATGAAGCCACCACATACTCTCTTTTCCTTAAGAAGCAGCCAGCCAGGCCTAGAGAGATGGCCCAGTGGTTAAGAGCGCTCTCTGTAGATGAACCGAGTTCGATTCCCAGTTCTCACAGTTATCCATGATCCATGTTCCAGAGGGTCAGACCCAGCCTTCTTATGACCTCTGAGGACACTAAGCACACACCGTGCACAGACAGGCAGGCAAAAACAGTTACACGCATAAAATAAATCTAAAAGAAAAACCAGCACAACAGCTTCCTGGCTTTATGTTCAGGCAGCCCAGGAGAGCTTCAAATGCTCCTGAGACCCTGGCAGGGTGGAGGTGCTGATGGGTGGGGGCCAGTGTTCCTGGCTATTCCAGAGCCACCATGATTTCTGGTCATTCTTTTTTTAATTTATTTAACTTTATTATATGTGCATTGGTATGAAGCTACCCTGAAACTGAAGTTACAGATAGTTGTGAGCTGCCTGCCATGTGGGTGCTGGGAGTTGAACCCACGTCCTCTGGAAGAGCAGCCAGTGCTCTTAACCTCTGAGCCATCTCCCCAGCCCCACAGATGCCATTCTTCCGGGCTCCTTTGCATCGCCATGGCTGAGGAAAGGCGGGGCCAGAGTCTTAGGACTCAGCTGGTTGAATTTGCTAATGAATCACCAGCACCAGTCTCTAGGAGACCCCCAGGGGCCACCTGCACAAAGGCAACACAGCAGGCAGGAGAATTCTTCTCTCATTTGTTTACATTTTCATGCAAGTTCCAGGACACTTTACACACACACACACACACACACACACACACACACACACACACTCACATTCACACAGACACACGCACGCAGGCACACAGATCCAGATACCATGAGGAGACACATGCAGACACACATACATATACACACCAACAAACATACATGCAGACACATGCACATACTCACACAGGCACTCACTCAGAGACCCAGGCACTAACAGACTCATGAGAACACACACAGACACATATACAAATACACATTGACACATGCACACAGATATGCACAAATTTTCCTACACACTGACACACGTGTGCACACACATGCCTTGCTATTTGCCATTTGCTTCTGTTTCTCCGATAGCAACCTTTGAAAGAAGGATCCAGAAGCAGGTGCTGTTTTAGTCAGCATCTTTGGCTTTGGGTACAGAATGCCAAGCCCGACTTTTTAATCTATTGGTTTCAGAATCATAGAGCCTGGTTTTGTTTTATGATTTTTGTTCATGGCCAATTCCAGTTTGTGCCTTGTGGATTCATGTTATTAAAAAGAAGTTAGAGATAGTCATGACTAATACAGACTCCATGCCAAGTCCAAGAAAGCTATGCTTTGAGCCCAGTGAGAGGAAACCTTGTGTGTGTGTGTGTGTGTGTAAAACCACCCCTCCTCCAACACACACACACACACACACACACACACACACACACACAATTGTCTTGGAGAGAAGCCTCATATAGATTTTTTTGTTTTTTATTGTGGTATTGACAGTGCTGGAGAGATGGTTCCACAGTCAAGAGCACAGGCTGCTCTTCCAGGGGACACAGGTCCGATGCCCAGCTTCCATAGGCTAGCCCACGGATGCCTGTTACTCCAGTTCCGGGGGGATCCATTGCCCCCTTCTGGCCTCCATCGGCACTGCATGCAAAAGGCAGACATTCATGAAAGCAAATCATTCATATGATCTAAAATTTTAAAATCTGGGCTGGAGAGATGGCTCAGGGGTTAAGACTGGGAGGTCCTGAGTTCAATTCCCAGCAACCACATGGTGGCTCACAGCTCTCTATGCTGGGATCTGGTGCCCTCTTCTGGCCTGCAGGCATACATGCAGGCAGACCACTCAGCACCTAAAACAAACACAGAGAAACCCTGTCTTGAAAAACAAAAAGAATTTAAATTACATTGGGGAAGTCTGTGATCCAAAAAGGGCTAATGGCGTGGAGATGGTTGAAGTGGGAAAAACAAAAACAAAAACCCTTGTAATTGCAGAAAGGAAGCCTGTACTGGCGTTAGCACCCTAGGAGTCCATGCACAGAGACGGTCTGAATGCCCTCAGCAAGAGATTAGGAGCAAGCTTGCCCAGGTGGGCATGACCACAGACCCCAGGCCTATAGCACCCCTGACCCTGGAACACGTGGTCCAGACCCATCCTGTGGTGGTAGGTTCCTGTTTTCCCTGCCTTGCTGGGTGGAAGCCTTGGCTCTCTCCCTGAGATCAAAGGATGAGAGCAGGCACTGGTGGAGGGGTGGGAGGTGAGCAGAGCAGGATTTCCGGGCTGGAGACTGCAGCCCAGAGAGGAAGTATGGGAGATGTCAGGGTAATAATGGTAGGCCCTGGGGAGGGATGAGTAGTTTCCGAATTCCTGGGAGAGTCAGAGCAAATAGCCATGGGTTAAGAAAGTTAATGCATGGTGAGACCCTCAGAGTTTATCTATTTTTTTTGAACAATGAAAGGGGTCATGTAAATATGGGTTACTTTTTTTTTTCCTTTCATTCATTGCAGGAGGCTAAGACAGCACGCAGATACTGGGTGAACTATGTGGATGAAGGATAAGATTTTATACGGCTACTAGGTGACAAAAAATCCAAACAGGAAGTTCCAGCCTGTGTTCTTACCCTCCGAGCCATCTCTCCAGCCCCACCATATACGGTTTAAATGCTACACGGAGAACTAAGTTCTGCTTTGGTGTGGTTTGGGTTTTTTGGGATCTGCCTGCCTCTGCCTCCCAACTGTACCTGCCACACCAAGCTAGTTTAGGTGTGTTTAATTATTGCAAACATTTCTTCTGTGAGTAAACAGAATTTTAAAAGAAGATTGGTGTGTGTGTGTGTGAGTGCGTGTGTGTGAGTGAGTGCATATGAGTGCATGTGTGTGTGTGTGTGTCTGTGTGTGTTTGCCAGACATGTCTATTCTCCTGGTGCTGGAGTTGCTGATGCTTGTGAACTGGAGACTATGTGGGTGCTGGAACAGAGTTGGGGCTTCTGCAAGAGCACTGGACCACTCAGCCATCTCTGCAGCCCAGCAAGTGGAAAGGTAAAGATGCTTGGATAAGAAGGTCATGGACTTCCTTCGTTCCATGAATGACAAATATGTTAAGTATAGCCACCATGCCATTAGCATAATAAGAATATTCATGGTGTGTGTGTGTGTGTGTGTGAGAGAGAGAGAGAGAGAGAGATATTGAATATATCTCAACTTTTAGGGTAGTTGAGATGGGAGAATCTTCTAAGCCCATGACTTCCAAGCCCAGCCTGGTCCACATAGTGCTACTGAGGGGGAAAAAATCAGAAGGAGGGAGCTATGAAGGTGGGGTGGGAGGAAGGAGAAATAGAGGGAGGGAAGGGAAAGAAGTCAGGCTGCTACTTTCTCTCTGCATCAGCAAGTTAGCATGGTTCTACACATCAGAGATCTGCATGCACAGCAAGGTCTCAGAAGGCTGAAAACAAGCCGGACCTACCTATGCATGTTAAGGGTCCCTTAGCTAAAATACTTAGGGCCACAAGTGGTTGAGACTTCAGAGCCTTTGAGATCTTGGAATATTATCTGTACAGACGTTAATGTTTGAACGTCTCATAAGTCCCAACATCTGTCTCTTAAAAACCTTGTGACTTGGGCTGGAGCCAGGCATTAAGACTGTCTCCGTGGTTAAGAGCATATATTTCTCCCGTACAGGACCCAGTATGGGTACCCGGCATCCGAATGATGGCTCACAACCATCCATGACACCAGGGGGGTCTGATGCCCTTTTCTGACCTCCCTGGGCACTGCACACATGACACACTACTACGTACATGCAGGCAGAATACTTAAACACATGAAATTAAAAAATATTCTAAAAACAATGACAACAATCTCACCTTGCAACCCCGTTAGAAATGCTGAGTGGCTGGCACACACAGGAATGGTAGCTGGGTAGGAAAGCAAAACTCACCCTGTCCTCACTTCAGTATACTTTGCTAAGCCTGTTTCTGAAGAGCGCTGGGTCCCTAGCTGGTGTGGAGCTGGAGTTCCACATTTAGTAGTGGAACCCTAGTGATTTCGAAGTGGGAGAGGTAACCCAATGCGTGATCATCAACGCAGGGACCAACTTCTGAAAGGTATTCAAACCTGGGTTGAAGATGCAGCTCTAGGGGCCGAAGAAGGGATGGCTCAGAGGTTAAGAACACGGGCAGCTGTGCTACCAGAGGACCGGGTTTGACCCCCACCCAGCTCCTACATGGCAGCTCATAACTGTAACTCCAGTTTCAGGAGATCCAAAGCCCTCCTCTGGGGCCTGAGTTGGATTCCTGGAATCCACAAGGCAGAAGGAGAGAGTCGACTCTTATAAATTGTCTCTGTAGAGTGCTGTAGAACATGTGTGTCCAAACGCATAAATACGCACATGCACACGCATGTGCATATAATGTAATACACATATAATGTACACATACATTAGGGGTTTGATTGTGTAGTCCTGGCTGGTTGGAATTGGCTATGTAGATCAGGCTTAGCTCAGACTCACAGAGATCTGCTTCTTCTGAGTTGCCATGGACACCACCATGAGGGGCAAAAACAAAAAAAGCAATTTAAAAAAATACAAAATCTTGGACTGGAGAGATTGTCCTGTGACTGCTCTTCCAGAGGACAGGTGTTGGACACCCAGACCTTCACAGCAGCTCACAGCTGTCTGTATTTCCAGCACCAGAGGATCTGTTGATCTTTTCTGGGTTCCTCAAACACCAGACAGACATTTAGAGAAAACACTCATACATATAAAAGAATACTTTCTTCTCCTCCTCCTCCTCTTCCTCTTCTTCTTCAAAAAATGAAGTTTGAGGCCATCATACCTATTTTGTTTGTGTGTTTGTGGAAGGCAGGCTAGCTTAATGGATAAAGGCTCTTGATGCCAAGTCTAATGACCTGGATTTGATCCCTGGAGTTCACATGCTAGAAAGAGTGAACCAGCTCGTACAAGTCATCCTCCGAACACGTCTGTGTGCACACACAGCTTTTCTAGAGGGACTTGAGTTCAAAACTAACTCCAGCTCCAGGGAAATCTGATGCCTCTGGCTCCTGTAGGTACCTGTGTGTGTGTGTGTGTGTGTGTGTGTGTGTGTGACACACACACAATGAAAACATAAAAATCATTAGGAGAGAAGACAGATTTTCCTGATGCTGAGGCTCTTGTCTAGACTACCTATTGTTAGTTTTTTCGTCAACTTGACACAAGTTAGTAGTCATCTAAGAGGAGGTGAACCTCACCTGAGAAAATGCTGGCTGTGGGCAAACGTATAGTGCTTTTTCTCCATTAATGATTGACATGGGGGGGGGTGTGCCACCCTTGGGCTGGTGTTCAAAACTTCATCTCTTGTTCCATTTTTTTTTTTTTTTAGTTTTGTTGTTGTTGTAAGTTTTAGTTGCCTTATCCCTAGAAGGCCATAGCCACCTTACGGAGTTGTTTGTCGCTGTGACGTGTATATAATACCCTGCATACGATAGACCTTCTTAGTTAGGGCTGTGGTCTGGAACCCTGAGTGTGGGTCATTGAATGTGCTAATTCTGACTTCCAAGGGGCTTTGCTTTCTGGGTTCTTCAGCTGGCGCTTGCTGGGATCTGTGGGTGGGAGCCACTGATTTGGAGTCTCTTCTCGGAGGTGTGTTAAAGAGTCGAGACCCCGTTTTTTATCAGTCTTGCCCTTGATGTGTGGGGAGATTTATCTTAACTCCTCTCCTCTCTGAATACCACCGGGGTCCTTTCTGTTGGCTAGCTGTCAGCAGGTGGGCGCAGCCTTCTTCCTCACACCTACTCCTCCTGGAAGCTGCCTACAGATTTCTGCCCCCCACCCACTGTCCCCTGCTGGGATATTCTCACAATTCCATCATCCTCCTGCTCCTGCCCTGGAACTGTTTTTGCCTCTGACGCCCCTGGAAATGCCTATAAATAACCTCTAAATCAGTGCTTTTTCCTTCTTGGAGTTTTGTGGGGGCTTCTCAGTCCTCTGCCAGGACTCTGGAGACCACCAGACCTCCCCCATATGAGAAGTCTGGCTGGCACCCTCCTTCTCAGAGTTCCCCTTTGGACTTGCCTCCCCCACCCCCGATCCTCCCCCACCCCCATTCTCGGTCAGCTCAGAAGTTTCTCACCAAATACCTGCATCTCTGACCCTCTGACCTCCCCTCTACAGTTCTTTTCCCGTGGCTGCGTGGCTGCGGAGTCTTCACTGTCATTCAAATTAATGCCCCGTCTCAGTCTCAGTTTGCGGTTCTCCTCTGGGAAACCGGGAACAAGGAAGACAGGAAGGCTACCCTGAATTCCCGTGGCGGCTGTCTGTAGGACCCGCGTTCAGGGCTGCCAGGCCTGTGTCGGCCGGTTGGCTGTAGTTAAAACACCCCTTGTGGGAGGCTTTCCAGTGTGGTGTCTGCTGTCCCTCCTGGACACAGGGACATCTCTGGACAGAGGGACATCTGCATTCCATGGCCATCCTGAGCTCCAGAGCATTAGAGATGAGTTGCCACGTCTGAATGGGGCCATCTGTGGAAAGATCCATTTATTTCAGATTTAGCCCAGGTCAAGTGGATTAAGGAAGGGGAAATATGGACTCTCCTCAAAAGGGCTAATGAAGAAGGCGGTAGAATAGCCCAGGTCTTTAAAAAAAAAAAAAAAAAAAAAAGGAAATAACCCACAGTGGTCACCTAAAAAAACAGCTGTCAGGCCTGAGTACAAGGCAGAAGCCTGTGGCCTCTAGGAGTCCCCAACAGCCTGAAGGAGCAAAAGGCTGACATAGAAGACCATGGAGTAAATAGATTCAGAGGGAACCAGGACTGCCAGAAACTCAAAGGGACAGCAAAGAAATAAAATCTGCATGGGGGGCAGTAAAACCCCAAGAGTGACATAGAGACAAATTGGCAGGGTGGTGTGGAGCGGCAAATACTTCACACACCATTCAGTACAGAAGAACCTGAGATGAAACAGCTCTGGGAGAAGGCAGGGGAAACAAACAGGCAGGGGAAGCCACTCCCAGGCACCAAGACCCTCACAGAGACAAGAATGAGACACAAGCTCCCCCCTGACCCCTCCCCACTTACTCCGGAGGAAACTGGGCATGGGATGCTTAGGTAAGGAGGCAGAAGAGACCCAGGCTACCTGCCCTAGAAGGAACCAAACCCGTGACCCACAGAGTCCCCTCTTCAGCATTGGATTCCAGGATCAGAGAGGTTGGGGAGGAATGTTGGCTGGATTATTTGTTTTTAATGTGTCAACTCCTGCCCCTAAACCATTCGAGCACTGGCTCATGATGAGGACATCTAGAATAGGATTTGACTCGAGGACACCTTCTTCAGCTAGCCCTCACCCAGCTCTGCACAGGGCAGCACCTTCCTTCTGTTGGCAGCTTAGGACCCCTACAGTGGGGGTGGTCTTCTTTCCACATCGTAGGGACCCCGTGACAGGTTGAGTCCTGCTGGCCTACTTTGAAATCCTGTCTTTTTTTCTACAAAACCACAGCCACAACAAATAATCCAATGTCAAGGAAAACAAAACAAAACCCAGTGTTAAGCAGTCTAAAGGACGGTGCTGTTTTAAAAGCACCGGCCGTTTAGTGATAGCATTACTCATGGAAGGGTGTCTCTGTTCACTAACCTAGGATTGCCTGGTGCTGTATCTATTTGGTCAGCTTGGAGGAACCGGGAAGTGGAGAAGGACTAGCTTGGTATAACTGAATCTGAGCTTGGTATAACTGATTAGGGCTCATGCTTCTTATGTTACAAAACATGGATATGCATTATTCCCAGAGCCACAAAATAAACACCCTCCCCCCTCTTCTTTCAAGATCCTGGAGATGAGGCCAGGACCCAGGATGTATCTTTTCTCTGGTTTCAGCTCCCAAGGACAGGGGGCTTTGTTGTCGGAGAAGGGTGAGACCAGGGTAACTGCCCCTCCGGGAACTGCGTTGGGCATACATGTATGGTTCCCGGGCCTTTTCCTTTGTTTGTTCTTCGTGGGAAGGTTGCGGGTGCAGAGGCCCAGGCATGACGTTTCTCTGCTTTTTCTGGGAAGTCTGAGGCTTCCCAGGGATGGCTAACCCAAGAGATAAACAGAAGAGCAGCCAGTATTGCCAAGGCCACGCCTCTCTCACGGAAGCGCAGGTTATTAACTGGGAATTCTTTACAGCTGGTCTGGAGGACGGTTTTTTTTTTTTTTTTTTTTTTTTTTTTTTTTTTTTTTGCTGTAAACTGGCATGCACTGTAGCTTTCCTTGAAAAGGTTGTGAACGAGGTTCGGAGACAAAGATTAGAAATCAACCACAGAAGAGGGTAGGGGCAAAATAGCTAAGCCTTGAAAGAGTTGCTTCTAGAGATTACACTTGCCATGGTAGAAAAAGTAACATTATTTATTTATTTATTTGCCTCCTCCCGTTTGAAGGACCGACCCAAAGCGATCTTTTTTCGAGCTCCATGGACGATGGGGGAAAAATCCATCCTTGAGCTACCACATTCCCAGGGCCGGCTCCGCCTTTATGCCACTTTCGGACCCACCCTCCCTCGGTCTTCGCGTCTCCTCCACCTAGACCCTTTATTCCAAGTGCGGGGACTCAGGGAGTGTGTCAGGCCTTAGGGTCTTCCGCCCTTGAAGGTGGCATCCCTTCCGCAAACTCCTGCAAACCCACAACTCAAGCTGGATGGCTGGTGGGCGTTGCGGGAGGGTCGGGGTTGGGTGCAAATGGGGCTCTTTTGCTGTCTCTGCGGAAGCCAGATATTTCTTTACATCCTAGACTACAAAAGAGCAAGTAAGCAAGGTAGCCACGCACCTCGCAGCTCCTGGTAGTCAGTTGGAAAGGATGAGGACAGTAGTCCAGGACACGTCCCTATCCCACTCCCGGAGTGCCCTCCCCGGGTTGGTCCCCGGAAACCCCTCTCTGTCCCAGAAGTAGGAAGCAGGTAGAACCCGGAGCCAGGTCTGGCTAACCCCACAGCCCCGACCCCAAAGACGACTCCCCAGGGAGACTCCGAGGGGCACGGGCTTTCGGAAGTGGGTGCCCCGCCTGATGTAGGGGCCTCTTCCAAGGAACTTCTGGGTGGGGTGCGCGCGTGGAAGACGGGGAAGCGGAGGCTTAGAACCCAGACCCTCGTTAAAGAGCTGGGCGCGATCTCTGGCTCCCTTCCAGCTTCCAGGGCTCCTGTTTTAGAGGCATGTTATTGTTTAAGGAGACCCCATTGAACTATTTCCTGCTCTTTGTCACCTTCCCCTCGCTCTCCGGCAGAGGTTCTCACCGAGAGGCAATAAAACCAACTGCTGCCCACACCGCTTGGTGCGGAGGCGGGTGGGGAAACGCGCCCAGCGTGCGCTCCACCAATCCCCGGGGCAAAGAGACCCGGGACGCCCGGGGCCACACTGGGCAGCAGGCGCAGCCTCCGTCGCCAAGGTCCAGCATTTATGTGGGACGCGAGGACACCTCCTACTGGGGTCGCTATCTGGACAGCTCCACACTGGGCTTCCCTCTCCACGCAGGTGAAGGTCGTGGGGAACCCGCACGCCGAGGCGGGAGTTAATGACAGTCCCCGGGGCGAGGGGACGGGTGTCCCGAAGCTGCTGCTGAGGCTTCGGAGAGGTCAGGGAGACCGGGCAGACGCAGATCCGCCGTAGTCCGGCGCAGGTGCGCGCGGCGTGGACACAACCGCAGGGCACAGCCGCAGGCGCTGGGAAAGCGCGGAGTGGAGCGCTTGGCAGTTGCTCTGGGAGCCGCGGGCCTGGGTGGCTTCGCTCCTGATCCCTGCCCCCCCCCAGGGTCCGCCCCGCTGCTTTGATGGGGGTGCAAACATTTGGGAGAGGGCGGGGGTGTCGGGACTGCGCCCCGACGCTTTCCTTACAGGAAGCGCGCGCTGGAGCCCATTGTTGGCCCCCGGCCTCCGGGCCCGCCCGGCCGGTCTGATATGGCCGCGCACCGCCAATGGGCAGCGGCTCGGCACTTCAAAGGGTGTCCCGCCCAATCCGCCGCGCCCCCTGCGAGGCCACTTGGGCTGTATTTATGGGGAGGGGACCCATTTTCTCTTCCGCAGAGACTTACTCTTGTCGCGCCTTGCGGGAGTTCAAGTGGAACCACGGCGGCTCCCCAGCCCCTCTCCCCTCTCCCCGCCCCCTTCCCCCCACATCCCGGCCCCGGGCCTCCTTTGGCGAATGTTCTGGGACCCCAGGTGAGGTCTTTGGGCTTCCCGAGTGACCCTTTCTCTTGGAAAAGCGGCGGCGACAGAAGTGAAGGTGGCTCTTGAGTAGGCAGCCAAGACTCCGGGGCGGTGGAGAGGGCGGCAGGAGGATGAGCTCCCCGGGCACAGAGAGCGCGGGGAAGAGCCTGCAGTACCGAGTGGATCACCTGCTCAGCGCCGTGGAGAGCGAGCTGCAGGCGGGCAGCGAGAAGGGCGACCCCACGGAGCGCGAGCTGCGAGTGGGCTTGGAGGAGAGCGAGCTGTGGCTGCGCTTCAAGGAGCTAACGAACGAGATGATTGTGACCAAGAACGGCAGGTAGGTTCATGCTGCAAGTCTGGGACCGGGAGGATGCCTCTGGTGGGGAGCACCCTTTCTCTGCTTCAGGCTGACTCTCTGTGTCTTCCTGTGGCCTTAACGAGGGGATTCCTAACCCAAGTTTCTCAGACAAACTTTGAGGTTTCCTAGGCCTACCCTGGTGTGGCCAGACTTGCCCAGAGTCTGTGAAAGCCTTGGTCAGGTTTGTCCCTCTGTCGTCCCAAGAGACCGTGGGCTTAGTGGGGAGATGGATTCGGGTCCCAGGTCTGAGAAAGCTCAGGCAAAGAGGCTTGTGGGACCGATTGCTGGGGCTCTTCTTTAACCGGTAATAAACAGTTGGTGTCAGGCTTCCTCTCTCCAAATGGATGGATTAGTTTCGGGGTCCTCCTGCTGTGCCCTGTCTTTTCCAGGAGGATGTTCCCGGTGTTGAAGGTGAACGTGTCGGGTCTGGACCCCAATGCCATGTACTCCTTCTTGCTGGACTTCGTCGCTGCTGACAATCACCGCTGGAAATATGTGAATGGGGAGTGGGTACCTGGGGGCAAGCCAGAGCCTCAGGCGCCCAGCTGTGTCTACATCCACCCAGACTCGCCCAACTTCGGGGCCCACTGGATGAAGGCGCCGGTGTCTTTCAGCAAAGTGAAACTCACAAACAAGCTCAATGGAGGAGGCCAGGTAGCATGTCCAGGAGACAGCCCCTGGGCCCCAGCCCTGGAGGGGGGAGGCCGAGGACTGCAGCTCCCACAGCTGGGAGGGCTCCCTCAGCTTCTGTCAGTTTCACAGAAGCCGCCACAGGCTTCCCCAATTAAATCTTTAGTGCTGTTTATATTAAGCTGATAAGGTTCACACTGAGGCCTGGCGAAGGAAGCTGGGAGGCCCGGTACTGGTTGGCCTTCCTCTTGGGGGAAAAGGCTCAGTCCAGTCATCACTGCTTGTGCCCACAGCCAGGTGGGCTTTGATCCTGAATCCTCAGTCACATTAAAGTAAAAAGGGGAACACCGTGGAAAAATCTGCGCAAAGAAGTGCACTCCCCGCTCCCATTGGCGGCTGCTCCTAGAAAACTCCCAAGATGCCAACTGTCCAGGCACGGAGAGTTAGTTGCCTGTGGCCTTATTCTGACAGGGGTTAATCATTCCAGACCTGCCCTGGGAAGCCGATGTGTAAAACGCTGAGAAGCACCACTGCAGGCAGTTTTCCTGGAGACGGTTTTTGTAGTTAGATCCATTTCTCCCTGAGCGGGTCCTGTGGGTGCTGTGGTACAGAGGTAGGCACAGGTCTCCACCCTTCTCCTTATCTCCTGTAGATCATGTTGAACTCCTTGCACAAGTATGAACCTCGGATCCACATCGTGAGGGTTGGGGGTCCACAGCGCATGATCACCAGCCACTGCTTTCCTGAGACTCAGTTCATAGCTGTGACTGCTTACCAGAACGAGGAGGTGAGGCTCGGGCAGGGAGGAGGCACTGGCTAGGGAACTGGGAAGTAAAGTCACAGAGCTGAATACAGGCAGAGATTGGTGCAGGTTTACCGCTTCTGTGGTAAGAGGGGATACGTTTAAAACACTCATTCAAGCATTTTTGTTCGTCTCCTAAAATAATAAACGTCTGCAACATGCTTGAAAGAGGCATGAGTGGCCACAACGTCAAGCTTTTAAAACTCTACAGGAAAGGGTAGGGAACAGTCCCTGGGCTCTCAGCAGTGTGGACTCCTGGCAAATGCTGTCAAGGGGCCTTAAAGGTGCTGCTTTAAAGACATCCACAGTAACCCCAGCTGTGTCTGAACTATTGATTTATAGACATGAATTTGGGAATCTCACTTAGAAACTGCTTTGCTTTGTAATTTCTCAGCATGTCAGGCCCAGGTAGAAAAATAATGACTGGATCAATTTGAATAATTCACATTTCTAGTCTTTTATTTTTTCCTTTTTTGATAGTGTCCTCTGCCTCCCCTCCCTCCCCCGTTTGATCCAGGGTCCTTGCTAAGTAGCCCTGGCTGTCCCTCTATTCAAAGTAGTCTTCCTGCCTCGGTATTCTGATCATTCGGCTCACAGGCCTATGATACTTCTCACCCCCCACCCCGATTAAGTTCTCTGGCAACTAACACTATATTAGTAAATACACCTTCTTGTTTTTTTTTTTTTTTTTCCAGATCACAGCCCTTAAAATTAAATACAATCCATTCGCAAAAGCCTTCCTTGATGCAAAAGAAAGGTGAGAGAATTATAATCCCACTCCTGGGTGGAAGGACCATGCAGGAAGAAAGCTCCAGCAACCAGGCAGCTCTCCCTTTGATCACTCCTATTTTCCCCCCCAGAAACGACCACAAAGATGTGATGGAGGATCCTGGGGATTGCCAGCAGCCGGGATACTCTCAGTGTACGTATGGTTTGTTCCATCTCGGTCCTTCCTATCCCTCTGGCTTGTTTCAGGGTTAGGGTTCACTAAAACCAGAACCCACAGGGAAACTGAGGGGTTCTTTCTGGGAATGCTAGGGGTGGTATTTGTGACCCAGGCACGCACACCCCCTTCGCAGGCCAAAGAACTGTGGATCTGTGTGGTTTGTTCTGCAGTAGCTGGGGGTAGAGTGGACTCCTGGGAGTTTATAGACTTGGGTCCGATGGGAATTCAGCTTATCCTATCCCCTTGGAGATGGCTTTCCACTCTTGTTGGTGGTTGAAAACTTGGAGGTACACACGGCAAACCATCCTGCTCAATCCCCTTGGCTCCTGATTTGGGTGGCTTGTAAGGTGGCTAGTGTTTTTAGAATCACTTTAGAAGTTCTGTTAGCTAGAATGGGGGTGGGTGGGTGCAGGTCTATACAGACACACCAGGGAGAGGAAAGGCCTTGCCTCTCCCGTCTTTTCCAGAAGGGACCTGAAAGTATCGAGGGAAGTCCCTACTAAGGAACAGAAAGAAGGGTTGTGCTGCTAGGTTGCTCCAGCAGCTGCCAAAAGGAGCTTAGCACTCTGTCCTTAAACTACAACCGGCTATTGTAAACTGTTGTTTTAATACCATACCATTTGACAACTGAATGTAACAAACAGGCCCCTGCTGTGGCTCATGGGTAGTCCTTTCCCGAGCAGAATGAGGAGAAATGGGCAAGAGATGGATTGTGTATGGGGCCCGCACAGGACTGTGTGAGCATGTGTGTACGCTTCGCTACCTTAAGCATTGTCTGAAGAACTGTCTTGTTTGGGAATTGTCTCATGGAGGGGCTCCAAAAAAAAAAAAAACGTAAATTTATTTTTGGAGAGGAGGTATAGCGGAAAGAGAGGAGTCCTAGAGGGGACCAAACAGGAAATGGATCCACTAGCTGTTTCTGAGGCAGGGGCATTACTGGCTCCTGGAATGAGAAGCAAGCTTTAGCAGTCTGGGCCCTACCTGTGGCCCACTGTGTTCGCTTGTCTTCCTGCTGTATCCTTTGAACAATCGTTGTCACTAGAAAACTCCTTGCCAGCAGAACAGAAATCCCACAGAGGCTGGGGGAGGCCTCAGGGGTAACCCCCCTCTAAGACGGAGTTTGGGCTCAGCTCAGGTCACTCCAGAGAGCAAGTGGTCCCACGGCTAAGTGTGGTTGGTGTCTGATAATTTTGAGATTCGCTTGCACGCAGGGGTGGGACATCAGGTATTCCTCACTCCCAGAGGCTGTCCTGGGCAAGGGCCCCTTACCTAAGCTTTTTCTCACAGCAGGGGGGTGGCTTGTTCCTGGCACCAGCACCCTCTGTCCACCTGCCAGCTCCCACCCTCAATTTGGAGGCTCCCTGCCACTCCCTTCCACACACGGCTGCGAGAGGTACCCGGCTCTGAGGAATCACCGCTCATCACCCTATCCCAGCCCTTACGCTCACCGCAACAACTCTCCAAGTAGGTTCACCCCAGGCTGGGGTGGGAGGGACCCCTCTGGAGAGGCATCTCCACAGGGGTTCAGGATAGGGAGCCCAGCTCCTAGTGGCTCCTTGGTCAGGATGGTGCTTTACCAGAGGTCCCTGTGGAGGCGTTCAGTACCTGTGGGCCTTTTTCATTGAGCCCTAGTTTAGATAGATGTTCCACGACCTTCTCTAAAGTAACCATATTGGATTAGCCAGGTGCAAGCATTTTCGGCATTTCGGCCCAAACACCGGCTCTCAGTGTTGCCCGAGAAGCAGCTCAGGTCCACCCAGACCCAGAAGCCAGAGGGCATGGTGGCCCCCTCAAGGCAACACAACTAACTTCCCTGATTTTAGCCCCAGGACATCCAGAGACCTCTCTAACCATGTCTGCTCAGGCCAAACTTTGTCTGCTCCAAAAGGAGGGGGAAATGGCTAAGGAACACCATAAAACAATTAAGCAATTACGGCTGATTCCAAATGAAAGGCAACAGCTCTAAAGACTTGTTCAACCAGAGGCTAGCCTCTGAGGTGGGGAGATCCATATCTGTAATGTGGAGAGGCCATGGTTTCCATAGCCGATTCACCCCCCCCCCCCCATGGAAAAGGTGAGCTAAAGCGGCAAGCTTTTTTTTTTTTTTTTTTTAACTTTTTAAATTGAGTATGCTAGGTGTTCTTCAGTGGCTAAGCACTTAACTTGCCTGTCGTTTGAAAGGCTCTGAATCTGATCCCAAAAGCCACCAATATATATAAATAGTATAAAAATAAAAAGAAAGATAAGCAATACCACTGGGATGGTAGGAGACCGCCTATGCTAACTGGGATATTTTCAAATAATTCAGATTTAAAAAAAAAAAAACAAGCACCCTCCCCCCCCCCCAGGACACTACTTAAGTGGCTTTGTCTACTACCCATGCAGGATTTGTTTGCAGCATTGGGTTGGTTCAGCCATTAGTATTATTCTGTTGCACTTTATTCCTTTGGAAGACCCGTCAGGTAACCCCCCCTCTCTACATCACTCAGCCTATGCCGACAATTCGTCTGCATGTTTATCCATGCTGCAATCCCATGACAACTGGTCTAGTCTAGGAGTTCCTGGCCACACCAGCATGCTTCCCATGAGTCACGGCACCAGCCCACCTACTGGTTCTGGGTGAGTATGTGTGTGTCTGGAGGGCGAGGCAAGACCTCCTGTGCCTTCTGCCACCTCCGTTTCTGTCTGCCTTTTCTGCCTCTGAATCCTACCTGTGGGTGACCGGATTTGTGTTTATAATTAAACTAAACTGGACAGGTTCAGGGACAGTTGGTCCCATGACTGTGTAGTTTTTAATTACCTACATTTTTTTTTCCTCCTTGTGGTCTGCTGTACTCAGACCAGGGTTCAGCCCTACCCTGTCAGTTAACATGTGCTGTGATGAACAGTCCTAACACATTTGAGCCTCAGCTTCTCCATATGTAAACGGATACTAAATAGCCTCAAAATGTGTTCCCCCAGTGTGATGGGGTTGTTGGCCACGTATTGTTTAAAGTAACATTGCAGAACCTTTATTCGGTTATGGTTATACATTTCTTGACTTTTCTGTGGATAAAAGAGTAAAAAAGTCCTTAGTAGTAGTATCCTGGGAAACAGGTAAAGGATGGAGGCTGTCTGGCTAGCCAGTTTATAACAGGAAGGTTCAAAAATCCTCAAGGTGGTCGTGATACATTGCCTTCAAGCTCATTACTCCTCCTCCTTGCTATTTGATGTAATAGCAAAGCTAGACGCCAACACTGATTCTACCATGAGGAAAGGTACCCAAAGATATTAATTCTGGGACAGTGGTGTTGATGAGCTGTTAGCTCCCAAAGGAGGGAGTCTGCCGTCATGTGACCTTGACCTCAAAGATATGGGCCTGATGTTCTAAAACAGTGGTTCTCAACCTTCCTAATGAAGCGACCGTTTAAAAATGCAGTTCCTCATGCTGTGGCATCCCCCAACCATGAAATAATTTCATTGCTACTTTATAACTGTCATTTTGTTGCTGCTATGAATCGTGATGTAAATATCTGACATACAGGATATCTGATAAGCAACTCCCAAAGGGTTCACAACCCACAGATTGAGAACCACTGGCCTAGGACATTAAATGCTTGCCTAAGGTTTTCGATGTTTTAGTTTAGGATATAGAACTTTACTAATAAGAATCTAGCTGTCTTAGTGGGTTTTTTTTGGACACAGGGTCCCAGTATGTAGCCCAGGCTGGCTTTGAACTCACTACACAGTCTAGAGCTCAAAGCCTCAGCCTCCTCAGTTTTTGGGGATGTAGGCAGGTTCTCTCCACCTTAGTCTGTCATTTAATACAGCTTAATGAAATTCGTGTGTAGGGTGTACTCCAGAGGGCTTAATTCTCATGCCAGCGTGCTCATTTTGTAGATGAGGCAGCTTGAAAAACAGTTATGGGATGAGTTAGAGAGCAGAGCTGGTCTCAAGCACGCAAGTCTCTTGCGTGTTGACGTGGCTAACACACGGTCCCTGGGATGAGATGGGACCAGCAATGATGCTGTTCTGGGGAATTGCTTTCCTTGTATTCAGGGGCTGCTGCAGTGGGGTTGGGAATGTCAGTTAACAAAGTAGGCGCTCAGTGCAAATTCTGTATGTTAATGAGCCCAGGGTCTGCCTTAGCAGAACTCAACCCCCTACTGCCCACTGTGCTCATACGTTTTCCTTTCAGTCTGCATCATACTGATTTTGTTTCGTAGTACAGTAGCTTCTGTACGCATGGTTACAGTGGACAAGCCCTGTGATGATGCAATTACTGACAATAACATTCTGAGTACTGGTCGCTCCCCTCCACCTCACCCCGCATGCAGCTCACTGATTTGGAGCCTCTCCCCCACTCCTGACCTCTGTTTTCTTCATTTTCAGCCAGTACCCCAGCCTATGGTCTGTGAGCAATGGTACCATCATCACCCCAGGTTCCCAGACAGCTGGGGTGTCCAACGGGCTAGGGGCCCAGCTCTTTCGGGGCTCCCCTGCACACTATGCGTCCCTGACGCACACGGTCTCAGCTGCCACGTCCTCTGGCTCCCCGATGTATGAAGGGGCTGCTACAGTCACAGACATTTCTGACAGCCAGTACGACACGGCCCAAAGCCTCCTCAGAGCCTCGTGGACACCTGTATCACCTCCGTCCATGTGAACTGAACTCTCCTGCATGTGCTAAGACTGGTAGCAGCCAGTGTCCGTTGGGTCTTCCACTGGGCACGACATGGCAGGCTCTTGGGACAAGGGAAAGAAATAAAAGCTTGCTACTAACTCAAGTAAGAGGAGCAGTACATGTCCTACTTGCCGTGTTCCATAACCTGTTGCAGGAGTGATGTGTGTCCTCCACGTGAAGCCAGGTACAGAGATGAGGCTCTGGTCCGATTTCCTGTGACTGGCAGTCCAAATCCTTTGCCAGGATGCTATACCTTGCGGTGTTTGTCTCTTCTACAACATGTAGGTGACTTTGAAATGTTGGAATTTCCCCACCTCTTGTCCTACTTTACCGAGACACAAGGCACACTTCTAATGCCCTTCTTCCTCGTTGCTTTAGATAGTTTACTTGGAGGGCAGAGGGAAATCATAGCCAGTGGATTGTAACTGGACTGGGAACTCCTCCGCCCTCTAGAAGATGTTTACTTTAAGCACATGTAGCTTTTTGTGTTGTGGAGTCAACTGTGTGATACTTTTCTGTTGACAAAGTAGCCAAAGACAATCGGCAGAAAGTTTTTTTTTCTTCCTGCACAATAAAGGCAATATGCAGCATGCTTGTGGTTACTATGTACAGATCTCCTTTTGCGAAAGGCTTCTCTACCCAAGGTGTGCTTCTGTGCTTCTGTCCGTTCTGAACTTTGATGTTGTAGCTAAATCAGTTGTAGAGCTGGGATGCATTTTTATGCGCCTATGCAATCCTAATGGGAAAAAAAGGAGAAAAAGTAAGTTTAAATAATATTGAATCATAGATAGATAGATGTGCATGGCAGAACCGAAACATGCCAATGTCATAAGAATGCTGGATATCCACCTGATACCCAGGGAGGGCATAAAATGAGTTGGTAAGGATGAATGATAAGTATAGTTGCCATAGAAACCTGGCTGCCATCATTGGCTTTTTTTTCCCATCAGTGCTGGGATGCCGCAGAACCCAGGTTTTGGCTTAACCCAAACCTTTCTTAAAGTTGCAGATGGCCAGTTTGGTCACCGGTGCACATCAAGTTTGAAGTAGAGAGAAGCTGAGGGGTAAGGGTTGGGGGTACACGGCAGACCCCATGTGGCTACAAAGTGATTGCTTCCTAGCATTTAAGTGGAAAGTGGAGAGGCTTTGCGTGTGCTCTCTCTTCCCATCCTGTGGTCCTGCTCTTGAAGGAGTGGATGGAGTGTGACCTTGTATTTCAGGAACTTCCGCTGTCCCCTCCCCTGTAGTGTCTATGCTGGGGTTGAAGAACCTGCAGCTCATCCCTAGGGGTGTCTTCGCCCCATTACTGAGGCTGAGGAGGCTGAGCCCCGTAACCCTTCTGTTATGAGTCTGTGTCATAGTGCGGCAAGTTCTACACATGGACAGTGGATGGCTCTTGACCTGCTTAACTTCATAAAAGTATTCAGATTTCAAATTAGAGAAGTGGTATTTTAATAATCCGAACTTTCTGGTGATGAAGTGGGGACGGAAGGGGCCATAAAATGGAAAGAGCCTGGATTTGAGTTCAACAATCTCCCCTCATTCACAGAGGATATGGTCCAGGATCTGTTAGAAGGCTGAAGCCATGGCTGGTGCTTATGTGTGTGTAGCTTTTCCACTCACCCACCCACCCATTGTCTATCCATCCATCTGTCTGTCTGCCCACTTGTCCATCCATCTGTCCACTCATGCATCTATCTGTCCATTTGCCCACCCACCCATTGTCTACCCATCCATCTGTCTGTCTGCCCACTTGTCCATCCATCTATCTGTCCATTTACTCACCCACCCACCCATTGTCTACCCATCCATCCGTCCACTCGTCCATCTATCCATCTGTTCATTTGCCCACCCACCCATTGTCTACCCATCCATCTGTCTGTCCACTCATCCATCCATCTGTCCAAGTGACAGCTCTTAATGTATAAAACAGGCACTCCAGGAGATTAACATACACTAACAAAATTGAGCAGCTATGACAGTATATTATGATAAAGTCACCATCACTACCTTTGTTCCTTAGTCACAAGCACTGTGGTGCTATGACAGGTAACCCGATGGCTACACAGAGGTGTGAGAGGGGTTCGGGGTGTGGATACGGGGAGAGAAGGGTCAACCCAGGCTCGGCGGGGCAGGCTGGTACACATAACTTCAGTTTTTCCTTTTGCTTTTTGAGTTTGTTATTTTTTAAATTTACTTTTATGAATATGAGTGTTCTGTCTGCATGTATGTCTGTACACCAAGTGTGTACAGAACCCACAGAGGCCCAAAGAGAGTATTACACCTGGAGCTGGAGTTATAGATGGTTGTGAGCCACCACGTGGGTGCTGGGAAACTGAATCCAGGTCCTCGGCAAGAGCAGCAGCCGGTGCTCTGACTGTGCTGCCATCTTCTCCAGCCTCTCTAGTGCAAGATTTTAATCCAGTTACTCAAAGAAGTGCGTACTTTAAAGCTGGTAAATGGCTTCTCTGAAGATTTCCACTGAATATTTTAGGCTGACTTGGGCAGGACCCTCATTGACCGTGGGAGGGGTGTACTGTGTTTTTTCTCCTCACTTGGTGGAGACCAGGGGGAGTTAGGTTTCTAATTCCAAACTTCAGGGTTTCCATACACGACAGCAGAGAAAGTATTTAGTATCCCTGTGAGAAATGAGAGGATTTTGGAGACTGGGCAGAAGGCCAGATGTGTGTGGCATTATAAGAATTTGAGACCAGGACAACTTTGAACCCAACTCTGTTGATTGGAGTCTTAGGATAAGATGACCCCTTCGTGGACTCTCAGACCACCCTAAAACAGCTGCCTGGAGGACACTCAGCAAGCTGAGCTGCCCAGAAAAGGCCACGACTAGCAAGGGTGCTGGGAACTGAACCCCAGGTGAGCTGCAGGAGCAGCAAGTACTCCTAACAGCGAGCCATCTTTGTAGTCCCCAAACTTGACCTAAAACCAAGGAAAACAAATTAGTGACGTTTGTAGGCATGGATAGAAAAATCCCTTAAAAACAATACAAATGGAAGCAAATGTAAACCAGAATAACTGCATATGGAGATGAACGCAGGACAGCAGGTCTGGGTGTGTTTTCTCCGAACAAGGACGAGAGGAGACACTTCATCTGGTAGAATGTTTTTTCTGCGGTTTGCTTCTCTGTAAGGCTTTGGAGCCTGTCCTAGAACTAGCTCTGTAGACCAGGCTGGTCTCAAACTCACAGAGATCTGCCTGCCTCTGCCTCCTGAGTTCTGGGACTAAGGGCGTGCTCCATCAACGCCCAGCTCTGGCTTTTTATGAGGGCATTGGGAATCTGAACTCGGGTTCTCATGGTCGGGTGGCAAGCAATTCGCCCACTGAGCAATCTCCCCAGAGGGAGTCTGTGATGTGTTGGGGGTGTTCGAGAATGGAAAGTTCTGGGATTAAAGGCATTCACCACCAACGCCCAGCTTTCTCTGCTGGTTTAACAGAATTGTGTTTTCAGATCCTTATATCCTACCCAAGCTCACCTTTCCTAAGCATCTCTACCTAAAAGGTCCTGAGGGGGTTATTTCCATGCATCCCAGCTAACATTTCCTTGAGAAGGGACAGCCTCCTTTTGGAGACTCCAGAGGGCTTTCCTGGAGTAGAATAAACACTTTCCAAGAGCAACTACATGGATGTTTCAAAATCAAGCTCAAGAACAGCTGAGTTGCTACTTACTAATGCTGCAGTAGCCTCTAGGGAGTGTGGTGGCTGAAGCCCTCAAACCATTCCCCTGTGTGGTAAGTACTCTCTCTCTCCCCACCTCTTCTTCCCTCCTTCCCTCCCTCTCTGTCTCTGTCTCTCTCTCTCCAGGCACTCTCCTTTCAAGTGGATTTGCATTTTCGTTTTGTTTTTTTTTGAGCCAAGGTTTCTTTGTGTAGTCCTGGAACTCACTCTATAGACCAGGCTGACCTTGAACTCAGAGATCCAAGGCCTCTCCCTCCAGAGGGCTGGGATTAAAGGCACCACCACCTGACTGTAAGAGTATGGTTTTTCTGCCCGCCGCCTGCTCTTCTTCCACCGCCACGCCAGCCCCAAATAATGTACAGAGACTCTGTATTTGATATTATACTGTTGGCCAGTTACTACTTTCTTATCGGCTAGCTCTGTCTTAAGTATTAACCCATTTGTGTTAATCTATGTATTTCCATGTGGTCTTCTTACCCGGAGCCGGCTGCCGCAACTGCTCTCTCCAGACTCTCCATCTTGGCTCCTCCTTACTACTTCCTATTTCCTCCTTGTCTCTCCTATCTTCCTTTCCTATTGGCCAACAGTGTTTTATTATTACCCAGTATGAGAAACATACACAGAATGACATCTCCCATCACCTGACTATGAATTTGTGTTTATTTATTTATTTATTTGTCCTCCCCTCCCCCATGTCTCCAGTACCAGGCCCAGCGCCACTGCCCCCAAATTTGCATTTTTATACTGAAGCTTTTTTTTTTTGAAAGATTATTTACATGTGTGTGAGTGCTCTATCTGCATGTACCACATTGTGCCAGAAGAGGGCACCAGATCTAACTATAGATGATTAGGAGCCACCATGTAGGTGCTGGGAATTGAACTTAGGACCCCTGGAAGGGAAGCCAGTGCTTTTATCCACCGAGCCATCTCTCCAGCCCCTACCCTGAGGCTTTTGATGGGAACTGCTCCTCTCAATGATATCATTGATTTTGGTTTGTTTTGTTTATCGAGACAGGTTTCTCTGTGTAATAGTCCTGACTGTCATTGGAACTCACTCCTCTTACAGTAGGGTCTTGTGGATTCTGAAACCTCTCGGGCACGGTTCTAAACATTAATACCGGCAGTCTCGTCGCCAAGATTCCTCCAGAATTTACCACTAAACTTTGCTTTCAACATTCCGTGGCTGCCCCTAGCCTGCATCTCTCACAGCTTCCATGTCCCCCTCACAAGCAATTAATTCCCAAGGTCCACAGGACACACATTTAGTAGGCTCATCACACTGCCACCACTACTTTTACTGCCGAGAACCTCCTGAGTTAGTTGCTTTCCTTGTTGCCGTGACAAAACATCCTACAGGAACCACTTACGGGCAAAACGGCTCCTTTTGGCTATTGGTTTCTGAGCTCATCACGGCAGCGAAGCATGGTGGCTTGAGTGTTTCCGTACAAGCTGGTGAGGAGCTTGAGGCAGAGCCATTCAGAATGCAGTGGGCAGGAGAAAGTGCAAACTAGGGTGGCGTTAGCCACCAGAAACTCACCCCTACTGGCTTATTCCCGGCAGCCAGACCCTGCGTGGTACTGTCCTCCTAACCGCCTGAAATTACACTACGCACTAGGGGACACGCATTTAAAATATGAGCCTATAGTGGGCATCTCAAGTCCAGATCGTAACAGTTGGTGGTGGTGATGATGATGGTGGTGTGTGTGTGTGTGTGTGTGTGTGTATACATCTGGGGGCCATTGTTCTAGGTTGTCTGTCCTAAACCCAAAGAGCTTGCAGGAGGCTGAGCAAGCTGAACGCACACCCCTGAAGTGCGTCTGGTTAGCAGAGTAGTCAAGCTGGTGTGCAGTGTCAGGGTTGTGATCAATCCTGCCTCTGCTTGGTCACCTG